GGGCTCTAGTTTAATGCCGATCTAGCATGTCTGTGTGACCATATCTTAATCGGACGAAACTTCGGCCCGATTGAGATTACTTTCTTGCGACGGTCCGCAAATTCCAAGCTTGTTAGGGGCCGTCACAGATGGAAGGATATGTCCTAGTGATATATGCAGCCTACAGAACGTGGAAGTTCACGTTGAGGCTGCCATATCCCTTCAGCTCGTTTGGATGGAGTGAGTCATATGTAGAATTTTTTTTATTTATAATTTTTCTTATTAAAAGTTTTACAAAAATAATTTTCCATTTTGAAAATTGACGGAAATAGTCGCCTACCGCCCTCTGGGAGGGCGATTTTTAAAAATCGCCCTCCCAGAGGGCGGCGAAAATGACGTGGCAGACGGCCGTTCGCTCTCGGGCGACGGCCGTCAACGAAATTTGCAGGCGGCCCCCTTGCCGCCCTCCGCGAGGGCGATTTTGTACTGTGCGGGGGGCCGCCTGCAAATGGGCGGCGAGGGGGGGCATGGAAATTTGCAGGCGGCCCCCTTGCCGCCCTCCACGAGGGCGATTTTGCACTGTGCGGGGGGCCGCCTGCAAATGGGCGGCGAGGGGGCATGGAATTTTGCAGGCGGCCCCCTTGCCGCCCTAGGGGAGGGCGATTTTTGCCTCCCCCTATAAAGCCCAGCCCCTCCCCTATGAAATTTCATTATATTCACTAAAAATCCAAAAAAAACGAAAGAGAGAGAGAGGGGAGGGCAGCAGAAGGGGAGCGGCGAAGCCCTGCTGGTTCGCTCACTTTATCACAGGTATGCTCCCATACATCTTTTGCATTTGTACTAATATATTACGTTTGAGTACATATGTTGCGTTTTAGTTTTAGTTCCATATATTTTAGCAGATCTATAGCACACAGCACATATGTGTAGATCCAGAGCATAGAATATAATAGTATGAATTGAGACATAGACAGTAGTGTTAATTGTAAGATGTAGTTTAGTTTGATCTGGAGAATGTAACCTACTTTTAGAAATTTAGAGAACAATATTGTAGAGAATGTAACTTAGGGCGTAGTACAGAAATGCGAGGTTAACGCAGTTATTGTTTTCATCAGGCACAATGTCAAGTAAGGTCACATTTCAGATAGTTCACGGTGAAGGAAATATTAGATTTGGTCCAGATGGTGTTGATCTGTCAGATTTTGTAATGACATCTAAGGGCATCGATAGGCCTGCGGAGAGAACATTTCAGTCAATTTATAGTTGGTTGTTGAGAGGATTTAGAATAGACCAAGAAGTCTACACAATGTCAGTATCTGTTGTAGTGAGTCGTGCAATAGAAGGTTATTTTTGGGAACTAATGCCGATGGACAGCACTGCTGCTTGGAGACGGTATGTGGAAATGGCTTTTGAACGGTCATGGCCCCTCGTTATATTTGTGTCGGTACAAGAGAAAGATACAAATGTTTCAATGCAAACCGAAGATGTGGAGGGTCCTAGCAATGCAGGGGATGTTGTTGGACCATCGATGCAAAATGAGGAAAATCAACCAAGGGAGGAGCAGGCCATGGGCATGGCGGATGAGGGGGAGAGAGTCGGTATAATTGTTGATGAAATGGAGAGGGAAGATTCGGATAATGAGCAAGCGGAGGACGACGCATCATCCGATGAGGAAGGTGATGTAATGGCCACTGATTGGGCAAATGAGGACTTCTCTGGTCTTGTTATATCAGAGGGTGATCATGTACCCTGGGAGTATAAGGAGTACGAGGTAATTGAGGGTGCAAGGTATGCTCATAAGGATGAGATGAAGGAGGCGGTGAAGCATTGGGCAGTTTCATTGCAGAGAGAGTTTAGGGTGGTCAAGTCAACAAATTATGTGTATGAAGTGAGGTGCATGAAGGAAGATTGTCCGTGGCGTGTCCATGCATATAAGGGTAAATGGAATGATTATTGGAAAGTTAGCATTGTGACCGAGCACAAGTGCTACTTACAAGGGGTGGAGAAGTATCACCGAAACATCACTTCAGCTTTTGTGGCAAGTGAGATGTACAGCAGTGTTGTTGGTAACATTGGCTTTGAACCAAAATCAATTATTAGGCACATCGAGAACAAATTCAAGTACACCATAAGCTATGCAAAGGCCTGGAGAGCCAAACAAAAGATCATTGAGATGAGGTATGGCACATTTGAAGCTTCTTATGATAATTTGCCTCGTTTGTTAGCCACCATTGCCCAGAGGAATAATAATACTTACTATGACCTACATACATTTACATCGGTTGAAGATAGAACAAAGAGTGTGCTGCAAAGAGCCTTTTTCTCATTGGGTGCTTGCATCAATGCTTTTGTGCATTGTCGACCTGTTCTATGCATAGATGGAACTTTTATGACAGGTAAATACCGAGGTCAGATATTGACAGCAATTGGCTGTGATGGGAACAACCAGGTTCTACCTATGGCTTTTGCATTTGTAGAGAGTGAGAACACTGAAAGCTGGTACTGGTTCCACGCGTGATCGTCTTGTCACATCTAATGAATAATGTATCTCATTGAGTTCACATATATTGCAGTGAAAACGACGCTATATAATTGACAATCTGAAGGCAACCTCTTCATATCTTCTTTCCCACTACCACACCACACACGAAAATGGAAGCCTATTAATTGGTAATACGTAATCTAGAATTGAGATTATGTACAACATTCTTCACTACAATTTTACATTTTGGCAGCAAACCAAATATGATCAAATGCAATTTTACCTTACCAAATATTTGGTAGTGCCAAAACTTGCTTATATTTTGGCATTAACAAAATATTTGTACGGTAACATTCCAAATATGCCCTAAAAAATAATAAAATTGTATTTTACCAATCTTGGAGATTTTAATCTTGTATAGTTTTCAATATAAAAAGATTTGATAACTATTGATATTTATATAAAAAAAATATAGAGCACAGTACAAAATCGCCCTCCCCCAGGGCGGCAAGGGGGCCGCCTGCAAAATTCCATGCCCCCTCGCCGCCCATTTGCAGGCGGCCCCCCGCACAGTGCAAAATCGCCCTCGCGGAGGGCGGCAAGGGGGCCGCCTGCAAATTTCCATGCCCCCCCTCGCCGCCCATTTGCAGGCGGCCCCCCGCACAGTACAAAATCGCCCTCGCGGAGGGCGGCAAGGGGGCCGCCTGCAAATTTCGTTGACGGCCGTCGCCCGAGAGCGAACGGCCGTCTGCCACGTCATTTTCGCCGCCCCCTGGGAGGGCGATTTTTAAAAATCGCCCTCCCAGAGGGCGGTAGGCGACTATTTCCGTCAATTTTCAAAATGGAAAATTATTTTTGTAAAACTTTTAATAAAAAAATTATAAATAAAAAAAATTCGTCATATGTAAGGATGGTGCGTCAAAGTCAGCTGTTTTAGTCGGTGGTGAGTCACGTTTTCTATTTTTGCACGAGAATAAACGGAAAATGCATGCCGTTGCAAGTTAAACGGCACAAAATGTCACCTGTGTATTCATCTTTGCTCCAGCAAATGTTCGTGTGATGTGCATCTAATCTAGCTAAGCAGTAAGCAGCGAGAACGTACTCTGTTGTGTACACCTCGTGCTTGTGCGGTAGCATGGTCTGTCGATGTGTCTTGTCTCCGCTACCGGCCCATCGTGCATTGCCGATCGAGCCGGCCTCGGCTGCAATTCGCGTCCTTGTTGCTCGGCTGCATTGCCTGGGCGAGGTTCCAGGGTGGACCGATGTGGCCCGGTGCATCGTTCGTCTGTTGTTGGGCTGGTGAATATCGATCAAAGACAATGCTATAAACTGACCTTTTATTTCTTGCAAAATGTTATGACTGGCGCTGACAATACGGCAAAATTCCAACTATACTGATTACTTAATGGCGCGTATAGATGGCCATATGGCCCGAGGCCCGTGGGCTGGCCCAAGGCACGCCACTTTGGCCTAGCCCAGGCACGGCCGGGCCTAGGCCGTGCCGAGCGGCCCATTTGGCCAACTATAATGGTGCGTCGTTCACTTGCCCCTTTCGTCCCAGAAAAAAATCAAACCCTTTTTGGGACAGAGTAGTATTTGTCATTAGAAAATTGATAGGAGTATCAGTTGCACATTTGGGCCCACCCTCTTAAGTCTCAACACTGTCCTTTCTTTATCTAGCAAGATCACATCACAAAATAGGCCAAGAAAGGTGGTGTTATTTTCTCCTAAAGATGAAGATTAAGTTTTTACGCAAAACGAGGTGGTGTTATTGAGTTTTAATTATTACAAATTGAAAAATTGATTAATATGATATTTTAGAGCAATTTTCATATAGAAAGTTTTCGCATGAAATACACCGTTTAGCAGTTTGAAAAGCTGCCATGAAAATCTTAATCTTCATCCAACTCTTGTTGGAGAAAAGAACGGGACCTTTGGCCACGCCCATGAAACAGGGGCTACTGTTGCCAATCCGTTGGTTTGGAGAGAGCTCATATGATCCCATCCCACCACATCAACCTCTTTGGTCACCACCTCTGTTTGTTTCTCTGTCGGGCCAATCGCCATTGACGCAGAGCACCAGCCATGGTGAGAGAGTGTCATTATAGACGGATTGGGAATGTTGCCCACAGTGGAGTATAGTAAACGAATCCTCTTCAGGGGTCGAAATATAATCCATATTATGTGCGTGGTTACTCTTCAGTCTTCACTCACTCTTCAATCTTTTCTTAAGAGCTAATGGGCGAACGTGCGCCAAACCGATCTCACGAATAGGTATGGGAATGAGATATTTCTTCACACGTGCGCGTACTGCTTCCGTTTCTTCACACTAAGGTGGTGTTTGAATCTCGTGAGAATGAAGATGAAGATAAAGATTAAGTGTTTCACGTAAAACGAGGCGGTAAATAACGTGTGATTAATTAAGTTTTAATTATTACAAACTTGAAAAATAGATTAATATGATATTTTAGAACAACTTTCGTATAGAAAGTTTTTGCACGAAACGCACCGTTTAGCACTTTGAAAAACATGCTATGAGTATCCAAAAATTTATTATCCAACTCTAAAATCTGTCACATGACAGATAGCAATTCCGAATAAATAAAGTGCGATACAACCAGCGCGTGGAGTTGGGCTTCAAATTCTAATCCCACTCGTTTCCGATGCCATACTCTAGAGATATGTTGAAATTAGAATTCAGCACCAACTTTAGCCGAACCCAACTCCGCTCGAAGAACTGGAACCCCAAACCCAATTCCACGGACCGGTTCCAAGGATCCAAACGGACCAGCAGCTGCTTCCAGGAAACAAAGGATCGTCTCTCGTTAGAAGTTACCGGTGCCTGATGAACTAGAGTCTCCTCATCAGGCTGCGTCAAAGGGGAAGAACGTGTCTTCGTTTCTAGCGTGGAATTGAACGACCAGAGCAGTATGTTGTGCAGCTGAATCGGGTGGCCGGTGGTCGACGAGAAGCCGACGGCCACCTCGCTCGGCAAGCTTCTCCTCAGATCAACAGTCGAGTTGATGCTTCTGCAGGGCGCGCCGCCGATCCGGACAGATTTTGTTAGCACCTGCGTTCTGTGGTCGTATCCAATATGCACGAACACTGTGCCTTCGCCGCCGCCGGCCGATCCGTGGTTGGTGTCTCCGGCCAGTGACCACGGTGGTGTTGATGATCTGCAGCTTGTAGACGACGATGGATGTGACATTGACGACGACCGTGCTATTAGTGTAGTCTCGAACTCGACCTCCTCAATCTGATCATCGCCGTCCGTTGTAACGCTTCTGCTGTTTCTGTTGCTCGACGGGTAGTAAGGCACGAGGAACACAGACATGCGAGGAGGAGAGCCGCCGGCGCCGGCGCCGGTCTGCTGCTGCGTTCTGAGGCAGAAGGTCATGGTGAAGCTCGCGGCAGCGCCGGTGGCGTTGTCCCAGAGCAGCACGGGCTGCGTGTGAAGCACCCTGCCGACGCTCCGGATTCCTTTGCTCCACACGGTAGTAGTACTGTCTCCATGGAGGCGGCCATGGAGATCGAGGATGCTTGTGGTCGTCTTCAGGTAGAAGAGGCTGAGATCTTTAGTGTTGTAGTGAGGCTGGGAGGAGAAGTCATAGCTGAAGGAGAGGGACGAAACGCCGGTAGGCGGATGGGTGGACAGCAGCGAGATCAGCAGCACGGAGAGTAGCTGCCGAGGACTCATGTTGCAGGTGCAGCAGATCTCATCTCAATGGCTTTGTGCAGCAATACATTTGATCGGTAAATATAACTAGGTATACCGTATACACTAGGAATACATAGGAGTACATTTCTAACCCTGATAGCCTGCTGAAACATGATTGGCTTGTAGTCTTTCGTCGTAGACGACAGATATCATCGATCTCGATCTGAACTCAACGGAAAACTAGTAGAATAAGAGCCCGACGTTGCTCTCATCACGCTGAGCGAGTACAACTTCACACCACATGACTTCCGTCTTCCGGTCGTGATCCGCTGATTTCCCGGAAATTTCGACCGAAGGTGCTGCGTATGGTACACAACATATTTAAGTATTTGGTGTTTAATACTTTGCCACTATATTTTTCTTGAGAAATACAGTGCAAACGCATGTATTCACAGTGAGCGCAAACTTACCCATATCAACGTACAAGCGCACATCCTACTCCTATGAACACAAACGCAGGGGTATATAATGGGTGCATACTCACCACTATGACCATATGAACACAAATGCAGGTGCTCACAACCCGCGCAGACTCACCCATATGAACGCACGCACATGCACTCTACCCCTATGAGCACAAATGCAGGCGCACACAATGGGCTCACGCCCATAACGCGCGCACAATCACTCATATAAACACATACATGCACACCCTACTTCTATAAGCACAAACCTTCTCCATAACCCTATGAACACAAATATACAGGGGTCTATAAACACCTTTGAAAGACAGGGTCGGCATACCATAAGTTTAAGGAAGTCACCACGGGTGCCTATGAACACAAATGCATGTGCCTATGAACACTTTTAAAAAACGGGGTCGGCACCACGGGTGCCTCGCTGTTAATGGGTACGTTGCTGACCACCGAAAAAATAATTAACCATAAAAACAAGCACGTGTTAAATAAAGGATTTGAATCCGGGTGGATTTATTCCATCACAAGAATCTAACTAGTTAAGCTATGCTTACTTCGCTTTTGCCACTCTATTCTCTATCAGCCTCATCATTTGGCATATTTTCTGAATATGCCAAATGGCATATTTGCAAACGAAAATCAATTTGTGAATAAAACTTTTATATATGAGTTCTTAGCGATCTAAAAGCAAAGGCTGAAAAATAAACTTCAATTAAAAAACCCCAAAATCAGCTCCAAATTTAATGTTGAAAATTTAAATTTTAGCTGATAAACATATGAATATGCCAAACAATGAGGCCCTGTATGTCTATAGAGGAGTAGTAACAAATTGTTAAATGCCATACTTAATAGCGTGGCAAATAATTAAATATACCAGGTCCAGACTCCAGAATGACAGACCGACCGAGCTAATCCGCTACACAATTTCCTCACAGCGTACGGCACCAAATTCCCTTGATGGGCGGTCATCTTATTCATAGGATTCGCTTAGCATTGTACAGGGGTTTGCACTTGCTTTTCAAGAGCATTTATTTAGTTCTGTTTCCATAGAACGCATTTGAATATTTTATTTTTTGTACTAAGAGTTTGCAATCTGTTCTTGTTCAACTTATAAATAAGCTCACTAATTTTTCAAAAGACGACTCCCCTAACAATTTAAAGCGATCTATGAAACAGAGACGGTGTATGTGTTGGGGAGGGGATACACGATCTTTCTCAAAAAGTTTAAGCCTCGAGAAGAATTAAGAAAGGGCTATCCTGTATTAACAACTGGAAAAGGTCCATTTCACGTCCTCAAGCTATTTCATTGGATCATTTAACCACATAAACTATTTTTTTCCTCAGTTTACCCCCACAAAATTATTGAAAATGGTTCACTTTAAGCAGACATTTTATACTATAGCCTTAAATGAAACAATTATCAAAGTAGAACAGTCAAAATGTACTGCCACCGTGTTGGCTCCCCATGAGGGCGGACGGGCAGCGACAACCCTAGCAGCTGCCCGAGCGAGGTGTCGGCAAAGCCGGTGACTCGCTAGGACGGCGGCAGCGGGCCTCACAGCTCCCGCCTCTCCAGATCGAGCACGGGCGGATCTGACGATGGAGGTCCACGGTGCCGTTTCGGCACTGGGCAGAGAGCAAGGCGGCAGATCGCGGCCTAGGGCAACATGGCGTCGTTGGACCTCGGAGGCTAGCGAGGATGTGGCGCTAGCATCAGACCCTCCTTCACCGGTCGGCGAGGAGACTGGTAGGTGGCGGGGTAGAGGAGGTAGCGGTGATGATGGAGGAGGTGGCGTTGGAGGCAGGGACGAGGCAGCGGGCTCAGTTACGGGAAGCGCCGCTAGATATGGCTTCCCCCTCGCCTAATCCGGTGCTCCCCTATTTCGGATCTGGCCTCTTCAGTGAGGGAGGACAGATCACATGTGGTTGTGATTGCAGCTGAGGAGGCGGTGGCTGCGGCGTAGAGAGTGCGATGGCGCATGGTGAAGATGCCAGCGACGAGGTTTGTGGACCCGCACCAACGGATCTAGGTCCCCCGAACAGGGCGCTCCGGCGAGGGAGGCTAGTGGCTCTCGACGATGGTGTCAGGCATGTTGAGGGGAGTTGATGAGTTGGCCAGAGAGGCCCACGTGGATGGCAGTGAATGGTGCTGGAGGCAGCGGGAAGGAGGATGCGCATAGGTGGCGATCCTCGAGGTAGGCGGAGACTGGATGACGAGGGTTCGTGCTGTAGCGTTCGATAGTGTTGATGTAAAAACACGAGGCCTGGGAGATCTGCTTAACTCTAGTGCGGTCTAAAACTTGCCTTTGGGTGTGTGAGCGTGCCAGTTGATTTGATCTTGCAATCAACAAGAAACAAAGACAAAGAAACCGCGGTTAAATCCATAAACGATAGCCAATCGGCTAGTTGCCGATGACATATCATTTATCTTTGGGCCGATGTCATATATGCATCGATCGGCAGTCATGAATAAGTAAGAAAGAACTAAATCTACTCGATCGGCTGTAGATATTAACGATATGTAATCCTTATGTCGATATATACTTAAATAAAGTGATTGGGATAGATTGGTCGCTATGCCGAGATAGTATAAATCACTTAGATCGAAATATATATTAACAACAGGACTATATATGTTCATAGCATAGCCGATTAGATGGATCTAGCGTGTATCGGCTAATACTCCGATACCACTCTATATTAAGATATCAAAACAAGTAAAATATACCAAACAAAGGCCTAATATACTTAAATGTAACAAGATCTTAATATAAAGGGCATATTTAACATGTCAATCAAGCATATAAGATAAATGTAATTAAATCAGGTAAGATCGGCTGAAACCCCGATGCTACCCTAATCGACAACCAAAGGCAGGCTAGAGATTGAGATTCTAATCTCGACTCATAAGATCAAACTCAACTGATGCAGCTATAAGTATGAAAAGAAGGACAATATCTAGACAATCAAGCCGTTGGATGTTTCATAGAGTGGTAGATATCATATATAATCTAAGTCAACGTCAGTATTCAACGCCTTCTAGTAACAGACGTTAGCCGATTAACGGTTAGATAGCGATATTGCCGGAGATTACATAAGATATATGATAACTCGATGAATTATATAAACAAGATTAGAGTATCATAAAGATGGAAGCACTAATCCCGAGAACACAAGCCGCCATAACAAGTTTTACCTCTAGTCGAAGATCGAAACCGATGCAGCTCAACCCGAAAGCAAGAACTCGTCGAAACAAAATGAAAGTAAAAGGGTGGCGATGCGCCAAGATTGTATTAAACGTGTGTTGTTTTATTACATGGGGTTCGGGGTCTATTTATACCCGAGATTACAAAATATGTCCATATCGGACACAACTCTTATCTCTAACAAACTCTAAGATACCATAAGTTTTTGCGGCAGAGTTTTGCCCAAACATATATCTAAGGAAATTGCATAAAACATCCTAACTAATAGATACAATTGCATTCTCATGACTCTTATCCATGCGTGGAAATCCTCATGAAGCTCATTGACTCAACCAGACAACGTATTCCTTGTCATATTGTCGGATTCGGCTCAATCGGCTAACCCTGTCCAACTCGGACTCTGCCGATATAGGTCGCAGCTGATTCGGACTTCAGCCGATCCCACTCTGTTTCCGGAACGATCTCCATCTCGAACTCCACTTCAATTCCTTCTCCACCTCCGATACTTGGATTACCAAATTTGGTCGTTAACACATAGGTGGCGGAGGGACGCTGGCGTGGTGCTGGTGGCACCAAGGGGTTGGTTTGGGTGATGGTCGGGAGGCCGGCACGGCCGATGGTGCGGAAGGCTGACACGACGACGATAGTGAGGCCGGTGAGGTTGTTTGGCGGGGGATGTCGGTACAACAATGACCATGTGCCGATGGAGGATGGTCGGTGGTGGAGCATTGGAGCGTTATCTATGAGTCGGCAGGGAGCGGGCGGCAGGTGTACAACCTAGCTCGATCTTGCCGGGCCAGCAACGACAGTGTTTTAGGTGTTGTTTTCCCTCTTGGGGCACTATCAAGCCATCCCTCTCCCTCGGGTGGACTGCTGACTGGAAACCTTGTCTTGGTTCTCCTCAAGACCTCGACAGATACCGACGTCGATGTTTAGCGTTGCTTTTCTCCTTGGAGACGTCATTTAGTATGCCTCCTGCCAAAATCTCTCTTGGACATCCTGCGCGTGCCCTCTCTAGATGGATATCCTCTTGCGCTGGCGCCCTAGTCGATGCAAGCAAGCCATGTTGGTGGGCCTTGTTGTGGGGGGGTGGGGGGTGGGGGAGGGAGCAGTTCCATCTTCTCTCTCACTCTCTTCCCCTCCGACCCCAAGGACGTGGATAGAGTTGTGCACGGTGCTCATTGTTAGGGTTTGGCTTTGGCCGGCTCAGGTGTAGCTTCTTTGTTGGCCTTGCAGCGGCTAGTCACCCTTAGCAGCGGCTAGTGCTAGGGCCTACTCTTGGATCCTATATAGGTGCTGTCAATGTGTGGTGTGTGGTCATGGTGTTTTTTTTTCTTTTCCTGGTTACTATCTTCAAGAGTGCTAGCCTTGTAATTTTTTTCATACTCTATTCGATGAATCATCGTACCGTCTTGTGTGGTTCGTTAAGAAAAAAGAAACCATTATCAAAGTTCAAAAGTATTTTCAAGATCTTTCATGACTGTTTG